CTTCTTCTCAATGACAGGCTATAAATGCTGTCCTTCCAAATCCTTGGCAACTTTTGATGTTGGCCTTTTCAATTTTAGCCATTCTAGTGAAAGTATAGTGGAAGAGACTTGATAAGCCTTGATCTGTGTAGGAGGAGACTTGTGTACAAAATTTGGAGGAGATGCAGAAGGAAACATTGTTGGAAGTTTGACCAACAGCAAAGACTCTAGTGTGACTGTAGCTGGATTATTACCCTTTAGTAGATTTTTTTTAACAAAATTAACCATCACTTATTTACCCAGAAGGAATTTTATATATTGTTGCTACTTAGAACAAACTGTCTCTGGTTCAGTTAGAATAGTCTTAATAATTGTTACCGCTGTTGTTAGGTCATTACTTGCTTAAATAGAAATTTAGTGGCTTGTGGCATTTATCTGATTCTGTTATAGAGCAGAGGGAAACATGTTTCCTTGTGCTTCGTTAAGATTGCTTTCTCAGCTTTCCTCAGTGATAATTTATAAAATCCTATCAAATAAACCAGATTCCTCAACTAGAATCTCAGTAATTTGCAAAGATATTCTTGTCTAGTCCTCAAGGTTAAAAATTTATAATCCCCAGCCTGGTCTACAGAACTAGTTCCAGGACAGCTAGGACTGGTACACAGGGAAACCCTGTCTCCAAAATATTATAATCCCCAAACACCATGAGAAAATACACCTTTTGAAGAAAAAGATAAAAAGGTAAATTGGACCCCTCTTCGGAAGGAGCTCACATTTTGGGTAAACGTGATGACAGCCTGCTAGCCTAAGTATAAAACATGCTTCTTTTAGCACACCCATGAGGGGACAGTTTTGTGTACATGTACATGAAGTGGAGAAGATTGTTTTAAGCTCGACTGTGAAGAACAAGTGGGGGCTTCCCATGGTGGAGTGAGCATGTTGAATATCTGGAACAGAGAATGTACCATGTGAGTAAGGGCAGATGTTCATGACACATTGACAAGCCCACCTTTCAGACAGGTTCATCTCCTGGGAGCTAATAGAACTCTGGGACTTTTTTTTTTTTTTAAGGTATTTTCTGACTTTACAGAAATTAAGGGCTTGCCCTGTTTAGAGCCATACACTCTTTGGCGGTAGGTACCTTCAGCCAGCTCTTATAATCAGACATCAATCTATTGACACAGCAGAGTGTGGAAGTCTTTCACCTTATTTGAAACAGGCTCTCTCATCATTTACTGCTGTGTGTACTAGCTAGCTGGCCCTCAGGCTTCTGGGGACTCCTGTATCCACTCCCAATCTCGCTGTAGAAACACTGGAATTACAGATGCACCGCAACAGTCCCAGTGTTTCAAATGTGTTCTCAGAGTGCAGGTTAGATTTGCAGGAGGACCCAATATAAACTTTGTCTTCCATGTTCATCTAAGCCCTGAAGGATGGCTGAAGGGTTCTGAGCTGGAAACAACTGTACAAACTGAGTATAGAGTGCCTCTCTCCTCCTGACTGGAGGGCATCTAAGAGCAGGAGTATCCCAGCTAGGACGCACCAAAACACATGTCACACTTAGTTTCTGCTATCTCCTAGGAGCCAGTAGTAAGCAGAAAGTTTCAACACAAACATTAAACAAATCATTTGTTTACACACTATAGTTTTTAACTAAGCAACTTTTCTGAGATTAAGTGTGGCAAACTATAAAGCGGCCTGTAAGTTTGACTTACAGAACTTTCTACACATAAAAAATCCAGAAAATAAAACTATAGCAGAAGTTTGTACTGTTATTTCATGAGACTCACTTCTTTAACGTTAAATGGAGGCAGCCCTTCCAGAGTTCAGCACAGAAAGCAACAAATAAGGGAACTTAGCAATAACTTGTAAGGAAAATGCACACCTGTTAACATATATATATATATATATAATATGAAAATGAGAAGATAAAGGTTGGCAGGTTTTTTGTTTGTTTTTAACGAGATACTAAGCCAGGTGATGGCCTCTGCTTGGAACCCAGTACTTAAAAGCCTGGGGCAGGAACAGTGCCATTGAGTTTAAGGTCATCCAGGGTTGCATAGTGAGCTCCAGGTCAACTCGGGCTCCATAAGGAAACCCTGCCTAAAAAAATTAAAATGTGCAGGGTTGCTAAGTAATATTATTCCAGAGACTGTTGAAATAGATGTTGAATGTCTGTTTAAACACATTATGGCTGTCTGTAGATTGTTTCCCATGTCCAAAAAATACTTTTTACATATACAAAGATAGTTTGCTTTTGTAGCATGTAAGGAGAAAATGTACATATTTAGGTTGTTCCCAGGTTATTTTTTCTCCACTGTCTCTTTGTATTGTGAAATTATCATGCACTTGACTTGTGCGGTGAAACCTAGAGTATCTACTGCAGAGAATAAAGTCTTGGTATGGAAAGCTCTTCAAGATATCAAGTGAAACAAGCGTGTAGTAAGACAGTAAAGCTCTCTGTATATCAATCACTTTATAATATATTGCAGATTACATTTATGTGTACAGAAAAAGTATTTGGGAGAATATATACATTCTTAATGACTTTTTCATACAGCTGGAATGCTTTGTGTGTGTGTGTAAGTTTATGCTAAATTAGGCATTTGTAGGGCTGGATGAGGACAAGACTTTTATAGCAGCTGGTGTTCTCTTAACTAATAAGAGCTTTCTGAGTAATAACTAAATCAAAACTTATTTTGCTCAGAGGTTATACCAAACCCTTCAGCCTCACATTTGTCTTATTAAATGCTAGTCAATTTTGTAAAGACACTCTTGGGTGCTCTTCCTTCTCCCCTCACTGACGGACTGGAACACTTGCCAGGAATCACAAACTGTTAGATGTTGGAGTTGGCTCTAATCCAAGCAGCCTGAGTCCAGAGTACATGTTTCCAGCCTTAGTCTTACTGTATGTCCAGAGGGGACTTTGGAAATTCAGAAGAAAATTTACTTGAGACAGAGATTGACCTTTTGAGTATATGTTCATTATGAAGATAATAACAGTTCCTTTCTGTGAAAGGATTCTTCTAGTTGATCCCCATGAAAGAACCTTTTAAATTTATAAAACTATATGAACAGGATATTTGAATCATAAAATATTTCTTATACATAGTCTGCTGTCCATCCTGGGTCTCTGAAAGTAGTACCAGCAGCAATTGGCAGAGGTGCACAGTTCTGTAGTCCAGAAGATGCCTACAGTGATGCCTCTTTGTCCATCACTTGAAGATTTGAATATAGACAGAGTAATCCAGGCTCACACCGTCTTTCCTGCCAGCCAAACAGTTTTGACAGAAGCTTCTGCTCTGGTTACTCAGAATGGAAATCTCTGTCCCCAACTGTGTCTGCAGTTCTCTCTCAATGTGTGGAACTGAGTTAAATGGAGGCATGAGTGCAAGGGTTCTATGGTCTGTGGAGCCCAGCTCAGGGTTAGTAGACTTTCCAGTGTGAACTGTGTGGTCGTGATGTTCATATAGCAGTAAATAAGCAATGGATTCTGAAGTCTTTGGGTTTGGTTGGATTCTGTTATTTCGAAACAGGGTTTCTCTGTGTAGTCCCAACTCACTCTATAGACCAGGCTAGCCTTGAACTTAAAGATCTGTCTGCTTCTGTCTCCTGGGTACACCAACACCACCAGGCTTCATGAAGTCATTTTGTATAAGAATCAAGATGGAAAAATTAGACTCAGGCTTAAATCAGTAGATAACAGTATTTGTGGAACTAGTCCAGGCTTCTTCTCCGGCCTTCTTGGTTAGATTGAGATAGGGGAACAAGTGCTCCAAATGAGGTGAAATCTTGAACCTGGAGCTCTGATATAGCTGCACCCTGGTTCTGCTGCCAGAGATGGCCTTCTCTGAGCATAACATCTGTGAAATCATTGGACAGAGCCCTGTTTGCCTGAAGGACCCTCACATGGCCGGCTAATCAACATCTGGTACTATAGTTAGCATTGCAGTCCTGCTGTGTTTACCTTTGAACATGAAACTAAATGGATAGCACTGGTCATTATGAAAAGCCTGATGGGTCACTTCCCACCTGAGGTTCAGATTCCATTCCCAACGCAGTGTAGCCGAACCCTCCAGGCTCCTTCAGCCACTTAGGTTAAACATGATGATGCCTAGGGGCTTCTCCTCCTTCTTCAGGACTGGGACTTCTGTGCTCTGTTGAAAGGTCCTCACACATAGCTAGGTTCCCCCCTCCAGTTGTCCTAATCATGTGCCACAAGCACTGGGTTTCCAAGAGAGAAGTGATTCTAGGAAAGTCAGTCAATCTTTTGAAAAATGTCTAATTTGCAAAACCAGGATAAGGTGACATCTATATTGAAAGCTACTGCCATTCCCAAACCCCAAATGTCAGTTCTGTGTTAAACTGTGTCTACTAGCCCAGAATGGCTTATTGGTAAAGCATAGTTGGTTAGTTCCATTGGAGAGTTTTATTCATTGCATAAAGGAAAATTCTAAAGTTGCCCTGAAAAACAAATCACCCTTCATGGGTTCTCTTTCCTCTTGAAGATACTTAATTAGACATTTGAATGCTAACCCTGCCTAACCTGGCTACTGTGGAGTGGCCTGAGAATGTCTCTGCTCGTTTGAATTTGATCCATTTTCTGATTCCTCCATGTAAACAATGGCATTGACATTTTAATGCTGATTTTCTTCCTAGTTGATACCTATCTTGTATTAATCCTAAATGTGAACAAGTAAAGTTATATTTAAAAAAATAACTCTTGTCTTCAGGTGTAAGCTTTTATGCTGTTAGTCAGATTCTCATCTCTGGCAAATACTACCTTTTGAGAAAGTAGTGCCTCTGCTTTAAATCATCTTAAAATGCTATGCACGCCTTTGGCCTGCACTCGGAGCCAGAGTCAGATGGAGCTTTGTGAGTTTGAGGCCAGCCTGGTCTACATAATGAGCCCCTGTGGCAAAAAGAACCTTATACTAGCTGTGCTGTTAGGGCTCCCCAAACTCCTTCATCTTTATGATAGCTACATTTTAGAGCTTACACTGTGTTTTCCCTGTTTTTAGGAACACCATCTTCAACGGGCTATCTCTGCACAGCAGGTGTACGGCGAGAAGCGGGATAATATGGTTATTCCAGTTCCTGAGGCAGAAAGTAACATCGCTTACTATGAGTCCATTTACCCTGGGGAGTTCAAGATGCCAAAGCAGCTCATTCACATACAGCGTGAGTATTCTTTTAACTGTTGCTTTTGCTTCATTGTGTATCTCTTATTTGACTTGGAAAATCTGTTTCCTTGACCACTATGGCCCAAGTTAGTAGAGTCTGTTTTCCACATTTAACACGATGTGTGAGGGTCTGGGATTGTCTCATCTGATGGCATGCTAAGCAGCCACAAAGCCCTGCACTGCATAGACTAGTCACAATGCCACCACCTATTGTTCTGCTATGTGGGACATGGAGGTCAAGTCAGCCTTGGCTGCATTGTGAGCTTGAAGTCATCATGAATCTTGTCTCCAAAAAAATTGTTGTTTGAGATACCTGCCTAATAAAAAGATGGCATCTGTCCTTAGATAATTTCAATATATGCTGTTTCAGCCAAGTAGGATCTTAATGTACCTCAGAATAAAATTAGTTATCATTTTGTTAGGAATTAGTAATGTTACTAGCCTCAAAGAACTTGCTGTAAGTCAGGAGTCAGATTTTCCTGGGAAGGTTTTCATTCTCTGTCACAAATACTCGTCTTTGATATTTGATAGTATAAAGGCAGCGTATTTTATTGATAATAAAATTAACAAGCCAGAGTTGTTTCATGGGGTTTAGTTTGCCAACCTCTGACCTGTGCTACACTAATAGGAGAAGATGCTAATGTTCTAAGTGTTGACATTGATTTGATAGTTATTCCACTTGATGGTGAACTAGAAATGATTGCTCCAATGGCCTACGTTTGGTGGCAGTGAACTGAGAGCTTGTGGATTGAAGATGGTGTGTATTGCATTATTACTGTAGCTTCACTTGCCTAGCCTCAAGTAGTGGGCAACTGAAAAACAAATAGTTGAAAAGGTGAAGTAAACCAGAAACTAAGTAGTGAGTTAGGAATTAGTTAAAGTTACTTTGTCAATATTTCCTACAAGATCACTAAAGAGTAAGATAGTTTTATAATGTGCTAGCCAAAGTCTGTAGATAGTTCCTTAGAAAGCCCTTTGATAGTAAAGAGGCTATAGGCCAGCATCTGAAGGAATGAATGGATCAAAAGTCAGCTGTTCATTATTTTTGCTGAATAGAAACCCGTGATATGTATGTACCACATGCTTTGTTCGTTAACCCAATGGGTTGCTTCTAGATTAAGACAAGTACAAATAGGCCCACTGTAAACATTCATGTTATATAAACTATTTTTTTTAATCTATATATGTTCATTATTGAGGTGTACTAGTTAAAGATGAATGTGAATAAAGTAATTCCACACTAGCTCAGAATTGAGTATAATAAATGGGTTTTTATTTAAGGGAAACGTACAGATTACAGGCCTCTGTACAAATCAGGAACAAAAACCCAACCCAGCATCCAGGTGAGAGAGAGAGCAGCCAGTGCACACCTTTCAGTACCCAAAGTCACACTCAACCTGGTCCAGTTTCTCAAAGGCTGAAGGAGGTTCCCCATCACCTCTCCCTGTTCTCTAAATAAGAGAGTTCAAGCCCAATACAAAATTATATACAATAAAAACAGATATAAAGTATAAAATTAGAATTATAACCAGCATAAACAATATTAAGAAACACATGTTAAATGTTTTAATAATTATTGTTTTATATTTATCTATTTTTATTGAGCTCTACATTTTTCTCTGCTCCCCTCCCTAGCTCTTCCCCTCCCCTTCTACCATCTCCCAAGGTCCCAATGCTTCCAATTTACTCAGGAGATCTTGTCTTTTTCTACTTCCCATGTAGACTAGATCTATGTAAGTCTTAGTGTCCATATTGTTTTTTTTTAATTTTATTTATTTATTAAAGATTTCTGCCTCCTCTCGGCCACCGCCTCCCATTTCCCTCCCCCTCCCCCAATCAATTCCCCCTCCCTCATCAGCCCAAAGAGCAATCAGGGTTCCCTGACCTGTGGGAAGTCCAAGGATTGTGATTTGTGGGCTGGTTTTCTTTGCTTTATGATTAAAAAATCACTTATGAGTGAGTACATGTGATAATTGTCTTTCTGTATCTGTTTTACTTCACTCAAAATAATGTTTTCTAGCTCCATCCATTTGCCTGCAAAATTCAAGATATCATTTTTTTTTCTGCTGTGTAGTACTCCATTGTGTAAATATACCACATTTTCCTTTTCCATTCTTTGATCAAGGGGCATTTAGATTGTTTCCAGGTTCTGGCTATGACAAACAAAGCTGCTATGAACATAGTTGAGCACATGTCCTGGTGGCACAATTGAGCATCCTTTGGATATATGCCCAAAAGTGGTATTACTGGGTTTTGAGGAAGCTCGTTTCCTAATTTTCTGAGAAATCGCCACACTGACATCCAGAGGGGTTGTACCAACTTTCATTCCCACCAGCAATGCAGAAGTGTTCCCTTTACCCCACAACCTCTCCAGCATAAGTTGTCATCAGTGTTTTCTCTGTTGACTACGGATGTTGAGCATTTCCTTAAGTGTCTTTCAGCCATTTTAGATTCCTCTTTGAGAGTTCTCTGTTTAGGTCTGTACTCCATTTTTTTGTTTTTATTGGATTATTTGTTCTTTTGATGACCAATTTCTTGAGTTCTTTGTATGTTTTGGAGATCAGACCTCTGATGTGGGTTTGGTGATGATTTTTTCCCATTTTGTAGGCTGTTGTTTTGTCTTTTTGACCATGTCCTTTGCTTTCCAGAAGCTTTTTAGTTTCAGGAGGTCCCATTTATTAATTGTTTTTCTCAGTGTCTGTGCTGCTGGGGTTATATTTAGGAAGTGATCTCCTGTGCCAATGTGTTCAAGTGTACTTCCCACTTTCTCTTCTATGAGGTTCAGTGTGGCTGGCTTTACCTTGAAGTCTTTGACCCATTTGGACTTGAGTTTTGTGCATGGTGATAGATACAGATCTATTTTCATTTTTCTACATGTTGGTAGCCAGTTATGTCAGCACCATTTGTTAAATATGCTTTCTTTTTTTCCATTTGATATTTTTTTTGCTTCTTTGTCAAAAATCAGGTGTTTGAGGTGTGTGATTTAATATCCGGGTCTTCTGTTCAGTTCCGTTGATCTTTCTGATTGTCTGATTTTATGTCAGTACCAGGCTGTTTTCAGTACTGTAGCTCTGTAGTAGAATTTGAAGTCAGGGATTGTGATGCCTCCAGAGGTTCTTTTATTGTACAGGATTGTTTTGGCTATCCTGGGTTTTTTCCTGTTCCATATGAAGTTGAGTGCTGTTCTTTCGAGGTCTGTGAAGAATTTTACTGGGATTTTAATAGGCATTGCATTGAATCTGTAGATTGCTTTTGGTAAGATTGCCATTTTTACTATGTAAATTCTACGTACCCAAGAGCATGGGAGATCTTTCCACTTTCTGGTGTCTTCTTCAATTTCTTTCTTCAAAGATTTAAAGTTCCTGTCATGCAAGTCTTCCACTTGTTTGGTTAGAGTTACTCTGAGATATTTTATGCTATTTGTGGCTGTTGTGAAGGGTGATGTTTCTCTGATTTCTTTCTGTGTAAAGGAGGGCCACTGATTTTTTTTTTATTTTTTATTTTAGTTAATCTTGTATCCTGCTACATTACTGAAAGTGTTTATGAGTTGTAAAAGTTCCTTGGTAGAATTTTTTGGGGTCTCTTATGTAAACTATCATATCAGCAGCAGCAAATAGTGAGAGTTTGACTTCTTTTTTTTCCAATTTGTATCCCCTTGATCTCCTTTTATTGTCTTATTACTCTAGCTAGGACCTCAAGAATTATATTGAATAGATGTGGAGAGAGTGGACAACCTTGTCTTGTTCCTGATTTCAGTGTGATTGCTGGGAGTTTCTCTCCATTTAGTTTTGATATTGGCTGTTTGCTTGCTGTATATTGCCTTTATTATGTTTAGGTATGTTCCTTGTATTCCTGCTCTCTCCAAGACCTTTATCATGAAGGGGTGTTGTATATTGTCGAAGGCTTTTTCAATATCTAATGAGATGATCATGTGGCTTTTATTTTTCAGTTTGTTTTTATGGTGGATTACGTTGACAGATTTTCGTATGTCCCTGCATCTCTGGGATGAAGCCTACTTGATCATGGTGGATGATGGTTCTGATGTTTCTTGGATTCAATTTGCCAGTATTTTATTTAGTATTTTTGCGTCAATGTTCATGAGTGAGATGGGTCTGTAATTCTCTTTCTTAGTACTATCTTTATGTGGTTTTGGTATCAGGGTAATTGTAGCCTCATAAAAAGAGTTTGGCATTGTTTCTTCTGTTTCTATTGTTTGGAACAATTTGAGAAGTATTGGTATTAGTTCTTCTTTGAAAATCTTTTAGAATTCTGAGCTAAAACCATCTGGTCCTGGGCTTTTTTTTTTTTTTTTTTTTTGGAGACTTTTGATGACTGTTTCTATTTCTTCAGCAGTTATAGGTCTGTTTAATTTGCATATCTGGTCTTGATTTAATTTTGCTAAGTGAATATTTATCCAGGCCAGAAGAGGGCACCAGACCCCATTACAGATGGTTGTGAGCCACCCTGTGGTTGCCGGGAATTGAACTCAGGACCTTTGGAAGAGCAGGCAATGCTCTTAACCACTGAGCCATCTCTCCAGCCCCCGAGTACAGGTTTTTGAAATATGACCTGATGATTCTCTGTATTTCTTCCATGTCTGTTGTTATGTCCCCTTTTTCATTTCTGGTTCTGTTCATTGGATATTCTCTCTCTGCCTTTTGGTTAGTTCGGATAAAGGTTTGTCTATTTTGTTCATTTTCTCGAAGAACCAACTCTTTGTCTCATTGGTTCTTTGTATTGTTTTCTTTATTTTTATTTTGTTGATTTCAGCTCTCAATTTGATTATTTCCTGCCATCTAGTTCTCTAGGGTGAGTTTGCTTCTTTTTGTTTTGAAGTTTTCAATTGTTCGATTTACTAGTGTGGGATTTTTCCAGCTTCTCTATGTAGACATTTAGTATTTTGAACTTTCCTCTTAGCACTGCTTTTTTTGTGTCCCCATAAATTTGGGTATGTTGTGTGGTCATTTTCATTGAATTTTAGAGAGTCTTTAATTTCTC